TGTAAGTCGGCTAAGCCATGTGCTACACAAAATCTCCACAACAGTATAAGCTGTTCTCGTAAAACGGAATTTAAAAGAACGTTAAGAGGCGTGGCATTATTGTGTTTGTCATGCAACGGTTTTTCTAAATTTAAATCTGAGCAACGAATCTTGCGCACGTGATTAGGGGCTCGACTCTCGGTTTTATTAGTGAACGATGTGTTTAATGTGATGTTATAAGAGTCGTAGTGGTAAATATAGATGTTCCTTTTAATCGTGCCAGGTCTGCTTTTAAAAGAACGCGGCGTATTTTACGATAATTAATTTAAATAATAATTAAGCCTCATTTATTCCTTGAAACATTTACAAAATATACACTCACTTAAAATAAATAAATTATACATGTATATTTTTTTTCACGGACCTCTTAAAGAGTATGGCCTATGCTCTTCTCCAATAGGCTCTATCTCTCTCTGTCTCGACTAACTACTACTACTAGTCGATACCAACTCCGGGGAAATAAATACAGATAACACAACTTTTTCTACAGCTGTGATACTTTTTGACATTCAACACCTTTTGTCTTCAGTCACCGTGACCACGCACGCTGTAAAGCACGCGAAACGTCGGTTAAATTTAAAATTATGTAAAAAAATTGTAAATTTTTAATAAAACATAACTTCAAATCCGTTAAAAAAGTGTTTTTCTATGTCTAAAAGTTATGTCAATAAAAGACAATACTATAAAAAAAAATATTTTCTCTATAAGGGGTTGTTAGCAGCTAATATTGTAGTGACAAAATAAACAGCTAATCTATAAGCAAAATGTAATTTCAAATGAAAAAGAATGAAAGGGAAATGATTAAAAAATAAATTCTGTATGTAATGTTGTAAATACCACTCTCATACTTCTAATCTAACAATTCACTATTTAGGTCAATAAGGTTTATGGTATGCACCTGTTTATTCACATTTTATTGGGTCATAATACTTAGTTAAACGCTTTATATACAAATACATATAAACGTTAACTTCTATCGTAATATTATAAAATGGAAAGGGCATTTTCGTATGTTTGAATAAACTCTAGACGCAATCGATTTCTATAATTCTTCCACTGTTAAAAATGCTCACGAATAGTTCTCTCTAGGATATATTTATTGTTATGATATTAATAATGGCGTGCCAATCCAGGAAAGATAGACTCGGGCTAGTGTATTATTGTAACTTTTGGTTTTTTTAACTACATTCACAGGATATAGCAAAAATTTCCCATTTGAAAGGTTTAAATAATACTAGAGTTTACCCATAAAAATATTGGATACTCGAGGAATATCTGTCTTATACACTTTGTACTTTATACATTTATAATATCGTTGGGGGCAACAATGCCCTAGATATAAAAACCCACATGAATTCTCTTTAAAAAAATTAGTTGCGCTCCAACCTTTTAGGTCTGGGCCTCAGATTTCGTTATCAATTTCATGATCATATGTCTATCTATTAGACAAATATCAGCCTCCTGTGCCTGATACACGCCTTCGACTTTTTGTGTCTAAGGCAAGCCGGCTTACTCACGATGTTTTCCTTCACCGTTCGAGCGAATGTTAAATGCGGACATAGAAAGAAATTTCATTGGTCAACAGCGAGGATCGAACCTACGAGCTTAGGGATGAAAGTCGCTAAAGCCACCAGGCCAACACTGCTCTCTTAAAGAGCCCAGAGAATTCTTCATACATTTAATGTATATAATCTAGTTCAGTGCACCGTCAATGGTCTGTGTATCAGAAAATTCTACGAGTAAATTGATGTACCGTATAAAATGCAACCCAATTTTCAGACTGATCGAGTTTGAATTACGGTACATATGAGGCCGACTAGATAACAATGTGTCATACAAGTTTTATCAATGACTTCGCTTCCAATATATTTTTTATAGAACTTGGGGCAAACGGACAGAAGGCTCATCTGATGTTAAGTGATACCGCCGCCCATGGACACTCTCAATGCCAGAGGACTCGCGAGTGAGTAGCCGGTCTTTTAAGAATTGGTACGCTCTTTTCTTGAAGGACCCTAAGTCGAATTGGTTCGGAAATACTTCAGTGGGCAGCTGGTTCCACATAGCTGGTTCCACGCTCAGTTGTGGAACGGCGGACGTCGAGGTGATACGGGTGGAATTTCGTATTCTGTCTCGACGTCCGATGATGAAACTCAGCTGCAGGTATTAATCCGAACAACCCCTCTGAACACTTTTCATGGTAAATGCGTCACTTACGTTGCCAGAGGTCTCGTGAATGCGTTCCCAGCCTTTTATTAGTATTATTACGCTCTTTTCTTGACGGACCCTAAGTCGAATTGATTCGGAAATACTTCAGTGGGCAGCTGATTCAATATGTGTGTTGCGCGGCAAAATCTACCTTTAAAAAACGCCGGACGTCGAGGTGATACGGGTGGAATTTCGTCTGCCTCGACGTCCGATGGTGAAACTCAGCTGCCTATTAATCGGAACGACTCAACTCTTTAATTCCCATTGTAATAAATTACCATTACGTGTCAATACGACAACTACATTAATATTACATATCATACAATACATACACCTAGAAAAAACATTTAAAAGATTAAAATAACTATAGAAACTGACATAATTAAGAATTAAAAACGTCTGTTAATCTATGAACATAAATTATTTTCATTCATTTTCATGTGTGCCCTTTTCAAAAGGTTAGTTCCGTCTCCTAACGGCATAGACACTGTTGCACTGCCGGATGGATTTCCTTTCCATGTGTCAACTTTATAAGATACATTTATATTTCTGTTTCTATATATAACTGACATTATCAGCTTTCCTAAAGTAATCTATTCCCGTTTCTGCAACCGCTCAACGTGAAAGTATGATGATTGCGCATAAATATAATGCGGTAAATTATACTGTGACAAGTCTTTAATAGCAAGTAATTTGTAAAGCTGGGTAAATCTGACCCGCTTAGTTAGGCAGCGTGATATTCGTATTTTTTCGAAGTTTTTCTATTATTAGAGTGAGTGAAAAATATAAGGGAGAATATAAAATACCATCCATATCACCTCGAAGTCCGTCGTTCAACAACTGAGCGGTTTTTAGCAGTTTTTCCCGCGCAACACTGTCTACAACTGCCTACTGAAATATTTCCGAACCAATTCGAGTTAGGGTCCTTTAAGAAAAGAGTATCAGTTCTTCAAAGGCCGGCAATGCACTTGCGAACCTTCTGGCAATGTAAGTATCCACGCTCCTGCCCCCTGTTATATAAAAGAAAGGCATTCGAGATGTGGTGTTGCAAATATCATAGACTGCTCACTGCAAAAAGAACCAATAAGTCCATTCTCAACCAACTAAAGCTCACCACAAGACTGAAGACTATCATTTACAAACGGGTGCTTAGGGAGCGTTCAAGTATTACGTAACGCAATTTTTGGAGATTATTGACCCCCCCATGTAACTCGCCGTAACGTTTTTCAGTACCCAAGTACAGTACTGTACCCAAGTATAGTAAAACGGACCACCTAGTGACTCTTTAGTTACTATTATGTGGTGTAAGTCGAAAAAAATATTATCCGTGCATCGTAACGTTTTACAAAAGCACTCGCTGGTTTTATACTTTCAAAACTTGCTATAGTCAACATTAATCAAGCAAAAAATATGAGAAAAAGTATATATAGTTTTTACAAAAGCGACAACGTTTTTATATATATTCTATAAAAAGTAATTGAAATTGCAAGGACAGAGCACAAAGGATTTAGACTTTTTTTTCTATAATCACCTTTTGTATTTCTTACCGCGAATAATAAAATTCACAAGCAATTTATTTCAGTTAAAAATAATTGCAACTATTTACAATTTATTGTTCGATCAAATGTCTAATTTTTCATGCATAATAGCATGAAATTGTGTATTATAAAATGTATTGGTATTCCTACAGCTCGTACAAATGCGATTACACATTTAGAGAGAAAACAAATTGTTTCGTCTGAATTTAAAAATGCAAACGTTTTAAAATATTTTCTGGTTAAAATACATTTTTGTAATGATAACTTGAAGACTTCATCCATACTTTGAATGATGTCCAATTCGTTGTGTAATTTTAATCTAAATTAGCACGGAACTTGTGTTTAAAGGCGCGTTATTACCCATATTTCGTTCATATTAGCCTACCAAACCGAATATTTTTTCTCCCGGGAATGTAATTTTGTAACAGTAGTAATAGTTTATCACTGTTCAATTTCAGTAAATAAATTATATCTTATTGTCAATGTAATAAGCTATTATACTGTGAAGAAATTATATACAAATTAGGAACAAGTTGATACTTGCCAATATTCGTGGAAAGTACTAGAAATTAGTTTATTATTGCAGTATAAAATCGTTGAACTACAAAATTAATTGAATTACCAATTAGTATTTAGGATTCTGATTAAATAATTACACGTAATTATCGTGTCATGTTAGGTAATTAGTGCGTGCTACTATTATGATGTCTATTTCATTTAATATTATAATGCGAGTAGTGTGGCCCAGTGGCTTCAGAGTGCGACTCTCATCCATGAGGTCGTAGGCTCGATCCCCGGCTGTGCACCAATGCACTTTCTTTCTATGTGCGCATTTAGCATTCGCTCAAACGGTAAAGGAAAAAGTCGTGTGGATACCGGCTTGCCTAAGACCCAAAAAGTAGCCTATTAGATTGACAAATGATCATGAAACAGAAATATTGTAGCGCCACGGATTTTTTTTTATTTTAATATTATATAGGGGAAATATTTGTTATTTTTTCAGTAACGAACAAACCCAAGTACATAAACCTGTTACATTATGAGTAAAAAAGGCTATATTTAGTTCCAAAATAAAGCCGAGACAGTCCACTTATTATTATATTGTATAACGGTTTTTAGGTCTTCTAGGTTTAATCCTTAAAATTTATTGTATTATTTCAATTTCTTCAGGTGGTGGCCCGCCGTTCAGACTTGAAGTTGATTGTGACGTCAGCTACAATGGACTCCAGCAAGTTCGCAACATTCTTCGGCAACGTCCCAACGTTCACGATACCCGGACGTACTTTTCCTGTAGAGACGTTTTTTGCTAAGAATGTCTGTGAGGACTATGTGGATGGAGCTGTTAAGCAGGTAAGAGTTTGATATTGATAGTGAAGCGCCTCAATAGCGAAGTGTTGCGGCCATGAGCCACTGGGGGCTTTCAAAAGTCAAAATCATTTATTCATATAGCTAAAGAAATGTACACTTATGAACGTCAATAAAGAAATATACATTAAATGTTTCTAATTTTACATTTACTGCCAGTTCTTAAATCAAAGGCGTAGAACGGAAGAAAAGAACTAGCAATAAACTCTCCGCCACTCTTTTTAATCGCAAAGTTTTTTGCTTTACACAACGTTTGTAGGCAGCTGCAATCATTACACCATGTTCCACATGACAACTTTATAAAAAAATAAATTAAAAACAAAGATTTGTCTGGCTTGTCTGTGATAAAACCTTCACGTCCATCGTTCTACAACTGAGCGTTATTGGGAGTATTTGCCGCGCACCATCACTATGTAGAACCAACTACCAGCTGAAGTATTTCCGAACCAATTCCACTTAGGATTAACGAGAAAAGAGCGTACCAATTCTTAAAAAACGGCAACGCACTTGCAAGCCCTCTGGCATTGAGTGTCATGGGTGGCTGTATCAGTTAACATCAGATGAGCCTCCTGCTCCTATTCAATAATAAAACAGTACTGGTAGAGGAATCTCTCTATTGATTGGAGGAAGAGCACAACGCTCTTCTGCCTCTCTAATTTTTTAAAGATTTACGGTTTCTTTAATAATATAGAGCTGAATTCCGCCGGTATCAACATATGATACAGGTATACATACAGGTTTTTGATACGTTCTTAATAATAAGGTGTTTCTATATGTTTAATGTGTTTTTTGTTTTACACAATCCATAATATATTTTTAATATAAAGTTATCCTATAACCTAAGTATTTATTGCGGGTAGACCAAGACTTGTAAATAAAATTTCTTTAATGTTATTGTAAATCATTTTCTTTAAAAAAAGAGCGTACCAATTCTTAAAAGACCGACAACGCACTTGCGAGCCATCTGACAATGTCAGTGTCCATGGGCGGCGGTATCACTTAACATCAGATGAGTCTCCTGAAGGTTTGCCTCCTATTATATAAAATAATATTATATATCAAAGAAAACACAGATATAGCATTTATAGTATTCTATTAGTTGTGCGAGAATATAATTTATTGCGTTGCGTCTTGAGTGATGTCTATGGATAATATAAATCCTTCCGGTTCCGAAGAGATATTCACCTATATGTTTTCATTCGCTTTCTTATTACGCATATAAACTTAAAGGTATACTAGATTGACTTTTTTTTATTGTTAGAAAATACAGTATAAAAACTGATCAAATCATCAAAATTACTGTATTTCAATTAATTTGCATTGTCCACACAATGTAAGAAAAACGCAGTCTTATCAGCGTAGTATAGAGTCACTTTATGATAATTTTATTATGTTTGACAGTTGTTAAACAGGATTTGATGTAATCACCATGCCTCCTGCTGATAGAGGACAAATCTTTGTTTTAATGTATTTTATTATTATTTATTACTTAAGATGTCATGTGGAACATGATGTAATGGTGGCAGCTCCTTACAAACGTTGTGTAAAATAAAAAACTTGGCGATTATATAGAGTGGCGGAGAGTTTACTGCCAGTTCTTCTCTTCCGTTCTACGCCCTTGATTTGAGAACTGGCAGTAAATGTAAAATTAGAAGCATTTGATGTATCTTTCTTTTTTGACGTTCATAGGTGTACATTATGTTACCTATATGAATAAATGATTTTTGACTTTGACTTTTGATACCGAGGCCCACAACCAGTATGTTGCACAAATCCCCGTTAACAAAGACGTTGCTCTTACTGGATGCTGTGTCCGACACCATCGACATCTTTATATGTTCGCAGAGAGATTTCACAGTAGCGATATTGTGTATATTATGTATTTATTTTATTTTTTCGACTTTATCGAATTATTCGTTTGTTTGCAAAGAGAATGGTACATTTTTAAAAATCGCACAATCAGCCATACAAAAATAGGCATATTTATTTAGGCCCACGGTTTAAAGCATTGAAAGCATTGCACGGCAGTGATCAATAACTTCTAGGTGATTTATTAGTTTGATAGCGTAACAATTTTTAAATACATCTTACATACAGGCACCCACAGTCGTGTTGGATCCCTCGGTATATACAGGCAAGTTTCTTTAAATGTTTTGAACAATTTTGTATGCTTTTTTACTGTCATAACTGCTTCAGGGATATATAAAGTATCGTTCTCGAAATAAACACCTTACATACAAGAATCTCGTATCTAGATCCAGGGCCGCGCCGCCCATGTGTGCGAAGTGTGCGGTGCACACAGGCGCTGATACAATAAGGGCGCCGCCACCGAAATTATTTATACTACACTACAATATTCTTACGTACGTTTGAAGTTTCATTTTACGCTTTAGGTTTTAGTTTACATTAATTACTCAGAGCTTAGCGAATCAAAAGAAAGGCCGCTGGTGACCGCCGTGAGTTTTTTGAGTGTGTTTATGTCTTATGATTTCAATAATATGCCGACATACCTTGATAAAATCCAAAATGAACTATTTTTTTATACTCGGTAACCAAATTCAACATTTTATTTTAAATTTATGTCGAATTAATAAATATTTTTCAATAATACTGGATTGTACTACTGACGTTTCACACGAAGAGCAAATTAGTATGATAATAAGATTTGTCAACTTTAACATGTAAACTAGAAAGTTAAGAATAAGAGAGCATTTCCTAGCTTTCCAATTTATAATAGCACTTTCTGCTCAATCGTAGATACAACTGGCGCTGGAGTAACGTCATTTATAATAGAAAAACTAAACGAAATTAATTTGGACATAAAGAACTTAAGGGGGCAAGGCTATGATAATGGCTCAAATATGCGCGGTAAGAATATTGCGGGATGTACGAGTAAATCTCCGCACTTTTTATGTCCGTGCGCCAGCCATAGTTTAAATTTAATAATAAATGACGCTGCACATCTCATACACGACTGCGTTTTTTAATATTGTGCAAGAACTATATAAATATTTTTCGTCCTCTACTAAAAGATGGGATTTATTACAAAAGATATGTCATAAATCTGACCTTAAAAACGGTTAGATAAAAATAACATCATAAATAAACTATGTAACAATTTAATTCACGTTTTATTTTTCACGGCAATTGGCCAGCGGACGTTTTACCTATTTAAGTGGATTAAACTAAAAGAAAAATTTTCTTTCAGTCAAAATTAAAAAATACATTGAAACTTGAAGATTCTTAAAAAATAGGCCGAAATATAGAAGGAGTTCCCTCAAAGGCCTGCAACACACCCGCTAAAAATGTCTATGAGATTCAATGACTGCCATTTTTTTCCGTCCCTAAGGCTCGTTTGACCCCTATAGAAAAAGGAGGCGCTTCATGGGTTTCGCACACAGGCGCTGCCGAGGTCGGCGCGGCCCTGTCTAGATCTAACCAGTTTACCTCGACACTGTATAAATAGTTGCAATTATTATTTCTTTAAACCATTATCGTCCCTCCTGCGTTTGTATTAAGGTCTGTTTTGGTATATATTATCACTGAGTGTCAATGAACTCTGTCGATAGTGTTGGATTTTTGTCTATTGTTTAATTAACCGATAATCGTTTTAGCGTTTTAGTAATACGTGGTGATGGCTATTTGAAAATAATACCTCAAATCTTTGATTGCGGTACATGAATCTCTTTTTGTAGCACGTATTTTCTTTAGATTTTTGGGCCTTCGAGAAAAGAACCATTTCCTGAAAGGTCGGCAACACACACTTATCACTTATTCAAAATGATTACTCGTTTGCCTCGCGCCTCATTAAAAAAATAGTGAATTTCTAAGAATTGTTTACTAAACTTATCAAATTTAATTAGAAAAATACGACCTGGTTGGTAACTGTCTTCAGGTTTATATTTATTATTTAATTTTCTCAAGCTGACACTTTTAATTTGACACTGGTATTTATAATTACCTACTTTCTCAAAGAACTAGATCTAATGATGGGATCCAAATTCAAATTGTACAGGCACACTTAGTGATATAGGTATAAGGTCTCTCGTGCTTTGAGAAAGCATTTTGGTGAAGTTCAACTTTTAAAAACCTACGTACTCGTATTGATTCGTCTTTTTTAATGTATTTTGAAGTCGATTTGTCTGCAGTTAAAGGTTTGTGTTGTGTTATTTCATAAAAACAATATAACAATTTAACATATAGGTCCTCATATGAGGTCCTTACGTTTGAAATTGGCGATTTGTATGGGAGAAACAAAAAGTAGTCATCTTTTGGAGCAAGTACGGGGAGTACGGCGGAGGTCTTAGGACTTAGACATTCCAATGAAGCTCCTCTAATTTAGTAACAGTCTGTTGTGCGGTATACGGTCTAGCGTTGTCGTGAAGCAGCAGTTGCCTAGAGCGATTGACCAGCCTTGGTTGTTTAGCGGCTAGCTTTGGTTGGTTGGTTTTCGAAAAAATTCTCGAGTAGCTGTAAAAAATTGAATTTGGAATTCCTAACCAAAGAGGTCACAGTGGCCAGTAAGACCAAACGTCAATTTCATATGTAAGGACATAATATTAAATAGTAACTTTATTGAAAGGAAAATGCCGGATGCATTATCCGTTATACAATAATAAAGTTCTTGCATGTGATTGGAAATATATCTTATGATTGAAACGGAATTAAATTTGTTGTGGTCACGTTTATAAATCTTGACGTTTAGACTCTTAGTTTTTCCTATCCCTATCAAACGATGAGACCCTAGTTTTTATTTCATTATTGCCACATGTATCACCACGTAACTTGAAAAGATTTTGCATACAATAAACGATATTTAAATAAAATGGAAGCAATTAATGGCTATATAGTAAAATCATGTTTTTTATTCAAAAATCCTTAGAAAAAACGGCGTTTAGTAGCCCATCCCTTAACTTAAAAATATATTTACTACTCGTACGGCGTACCTGCTAATGGCTGAGTGCAATTGACAGACTAATTTTGTTAAATATACTTTAAAATTGAGTTTAATCTGTTAAACTTTCGTTTCAATGCCTTATATACAATACTAAAATAAGCGTGGGTGTGTCCAATCAACTGATGGCTAACGCGCACTCGTATTAATTAAGCTTAGTGCGCAGGTAATTTCGTAAATTGGTAGATCACTAACACATGTAATAGAGAGCTTTTTTTTAATTTTCATTTGTTAAATAAAAATTTACACGCACCGTTGTTCAATGAGTATCATCATTATTTAGTTATTTATTTCAATATGTTCAATTAAACAATTCCGTAAAAACAATGTTCTAGTCACCTTCCGAGCGGCTTGATCGTTTGGCGTTGCGCAGAGATGTTGGATCTCTTTGCATCTTCCAACGCATTTACCATGGAGAGTGTTCAGAGTAGTTGTTCGGACTAATACCTGCAGCTGAGTTTCATTACATTCATCATCGGACGTCGAGGCAGAATACGAAAATTCAACCCGTATAACCTCGACATCCGTCGTTCCACAACTGAGCGTTTTTTAAGGCAGTTTTTGCCGCGCACCACACATGTGCAACCAGCTGCCCATTGAAGTATTTCCGAACCAATTCGAGGACCCTAACCTTCAAGAAAAGAGCGTACCAATTCTTAAAAGTCAGGCAACGTACCCGCGAGCCCTTTGGCGTTGAGAGTGTCCATAGGCGGCGGTATCACTTAACTTCAGGTGAGCCTCCTGCCCGTTTGCCTCCTGTAACATAAAATAAAGAGTTAGGTTTATTATAATGTGAAGAAATAGAGTAATTTGGTAATGTAATTATAATTATAATGTATGTTAATTGTGATTCACTTTTGATTTTAGTGAATAATTCATCTGTTTCAGTTACAAATAAAACACATTGCTTTTTTAGTACCGGGGTAATTCACAATAAATACACTATATTCTTCTAAAACATTATCTTGAAGATTGCCACACCCCTTTCGTTAAAGGTGACCTTTATCCCTATGACGTCAATAATAACATTATATAATAACGCTGAGTTGTTCATGACCTGTAGAGAATACTTGACACAGATAAAATGTAATATTATTATAACATTTCAAAAACAATTCGATATAATAAGCCAGCCTATACAGGGTGGCCAAAAAGTCGTGGATCAAACGCAAATAGGGGATAGATGAGGTCATCAGCGGCAAAAAATTGTTCTACGGGAGGTCTCTAAGGTCAACCCCTGCAGAGTTATGATTTATTTTGGTTTTTATATGAAAATTGACTTTTTTTGCTAATTCTTATTAAAATTCGAAAAAATCTACATCCTGTATCTTTTTCATAATATCCACTAGATTGGTACTGATGAGTTCTTGCGTTAGACATACTATTTATAGTTGTTTATTGAGTGTATTGAAGATAATATTAAGTTATACGATATAAATTTTTTTCAAATCAAAACTTTTTGTTTATTTCGGACCCCACTGTGAAAAAAAATTACTCTACCGAAAAGTGACCCTATATTACAAGTTTTGGCGCATTTAATATGGATTCTGAAAAGGTTATTACACATGGCAATAAGTCGCTCTAATATCTTTCTAGGAGGAAAAAACAACAACGATTCGGACTTATGATAGATTATTTACCTACCTGTGACCAGTACTGTGTGAATCGGACTAGATTCAAAGAATTGGACAGATGGCTGGAGGGTTACTTAGGAATTTGTTTAGACGGTACAGATTAAGTATTATGGTCAGAGTCAGGAATTTTGAGCATATTTTATTGTAAAATATTTTGTTTCCTACAAACAACCATTGAGAAATAATTGTTTTATTACAATTATTATTTCACAATCGTTGTTTGTAATTCTTCCTAGAAAGATATAAGAGCGACTCATGACCACGTGTCATACCTTTTTAGAATCCCTATTAAATGCGCCAAAACTTGTAGTACAGGGACACTTTTCGGTGGAGTAATTTTTTTTCACAGTGGGGTCCAAAGTAAAGAAAAATTTATGATTTGAAAAAATGTTATATCGTATCACTTAATATTATCTTGAATACACTCAATAAACAACTATAAATAGTATGTCTAACGCAAGAACTCATCAGTACCAATCTAGTGGATATTATGAGAAAGATACAGGATGTAGATATTTTCGAATTTTAAGAAGAATTAGTAAAAAAAGTCAATTTTCATATAAAAACCAAAATAAATCATAACTCTGCAGGGGTTGACCTTAGAGACCTCCCGTAGAACAATTTTTTGCCGCTGATGACCTCATCTATCCCCTATTTGCGTTTGATCCACGACTTTTTGGCCACCCTGTATAGTTTTATACACGAGTTAAGTTTAGTGACGGTTGGAAGGATTTTCAAATAAATGAAACAGTTTGTTTGAAGCTGTCAACTGTCTTTAATGGTCAGAACAAGATCTTATAAATAACATAACATTAGGGGTAGTGGGGTTGCGACGCTAGACTAAAAAAAGTGACTGAATTATTTATGGTTTCTTAAATCTAAGTGACTCATCTGTTATCTATAAAGAATATAAGTGAGATCGAACTATTATACATACGAAAACGAGAGTGTTATTTTTTTTTATGTATTAGGAGGTAAACGGGCAGGAGGGTCATCTGATGATAAGTGATATGACCCTCCTGCCATGGACACTCTGTACTAGAGATGCCACGAATATTCGGCTACTATTCTGTATTCGGCCTATTCGGCCACTTTTTTTGGTATTCGGTATTCGGCCGAATAGTACTTATTATTCGGCCGAATACCGAATACCAAATCGTGGACAAAAAATACACATCATATTACTCAAGATTTGTATTTATTACCAAATTACAATATTTTAATAAGTCAAATTAATCAGCGGTAAGTTGTGATGGATAAAACAAGCTATCAATCTCATAATTTTGCCATATGGCCGACTTCTTATTAACTGTTGTCATTTTTGAACACTCAAACAATTGAAAAAGAACTAATGAACTTTTCTACAAAATCGTAGGTGATGGTTTATTTTTATAATGAACTGACAAAGCGTGCCCTGACGTGCCTACTCGCAATAGAAACAAACAATCAAATGGCCGCACGCCGCACGCCCGCCCGCGCTCGAGACAGGTCGCGACACGATTTTGCGTTCGACAAGCATGTACTTACTGCCGAATGTTCGGCGGCCGAATATTCGGCGCTTCGGCCGATAGCGTTGCAGAACATTCGGTATTCGGCTTAATCACTATTCGTGGCAACTCTACTCTGTACTTACATTGCCAGAAAGCTCGGAAGTGCGTTGCCGGCCTTTTAAGCATTGGTGCGCTCTTTACTTAACTAATACTAAAATATTAACTTAACTAATACGAAATACTTCAGTGAGCAGCTGGTTCCACATAGTGATGGTGCGTGGCAAAAACTGCCTTAAGAAACGCTCAGTTGTACGACGGACGTTGAGGTGGTACGGATGGTATTTTGTATTCTGCCTTGACTGATAATAAAACTTAGCTGCAGGTATTAGTACGAAGAACTCCTCTGAACACTCTCCATGGTCAATGCGGTAGAAGACGCAGTGAAACTAAAGGGTTCATTAATTACTACCAAAACTAACGTTTTAGAATATATTGGTATCTTTTAAATTATTAAGTAAAAAACATATGTAACCTAACTAACATAAGGTTAAATAGCTCACGGAACAAATGAATAAGATTGACTCAAATGTTGTATTATAACCATTGTTGCAGCATTGAACTTCAACATTTCATGTCATGCTTGCAAATCTTTAAGTCTAATTCTTGCGGTGCTTTTAGCGACTATGTCGTCCAACGGTTGTTCTACGATTTTGTGCTTTAAGTTAGAGTACAGTTCAGCATAACCTAGTCGTTCATTCTAACTGTAAAACCAATGAACTTTTAGTCTAATTGTTACGGTAATTTACTTAAAAACAGCTTATTAATTAATAACAGATCCTTATAGGAGTTTTCTAGCATCATCTAGAAACATCTAGAATAATATCTAACGATGGCTGTAACTACTTTCAGGCTCTACAAATCCACCTTCAACCTGATGAAGGAGATATCCTGATCTTCATGCCTGGACAAGAGGACATTGAAGTTACTTGCGAGGTAAAATTTATTTAAACAGATGTTTGATTGTAGCATAGTGATTAGATTTTTTAAATTGTTTTTATTCGTTCAGAATGAATAAAAATTTATATTTTTTTTTCAGGTATTAACAGAGAGATTAGGAGACCTAGATGCAGCCCCGCCCCTTACAGTGCTTCCGATATACTCACAATTACCAGCTGACTTGCAAGCGAAGATTTTCCAACGCGCACCGCCGGGACAAAGAAAATGTATAGTGGCTACAAATATTGCTGGTAATTATATATTTTTAGATTATTAAGAATCGTGTAAATCTAAATCTCCCAGGCATCTCATCATCCCATGTCCCTCTTTTCAGAAGAATGCGTTGTGACCAAAACTCACCGATATCCAGATTGAGTATTCTGATAAACGAGCTAGATCTGAATATACATAGTTGCTCCCGTCACACTTTGAAATTGATTTTCCTTTATATTTAAAAATAAATTTTCAGTGCCTGTCACATGAAATATTTTATTTTTCTTGTACCAATGTATCAGTGAGAGCATTGAGCGTTGGTAAGCTTTTATAAATAAATAACTATTGATACAAAAATGTTTCCCTAATTATCAAGACAAATAACTAAATTTATCACAAAATATGTTTTGTTTAAAATGCTTTATAACACCCGAAAAGTAAATTCAGTCTACTATTGATTGATAATTATATAATGTGACCAATAAATATCTGCTTATTACTATAAATCGCCCAATTCGAATGTTAATCTACAACCAAACTTTCCACCTTAAATAAAAAAATCTGAAGAAATTATTATAAACATTAAATCCTCAAATTTATTATGAAAATGAATTTAGGGCTATTTTATTTGCTCGTATAAAATGGTAACAATACTATTTATTCCATATGTTATACATCAAACATAATTATATCTCATAGTCAATATTTCCATAGAAACCTACTGTTCTATACAAAAATTAAATTATAATGCACATAACACAGAAGTGTGCCACTTTTTCAATAAGGCGAAATTGCGCCTAACGCCTCACAATGGGGGCCAATCTTCTTAACGAGGTCCAATAACTTTGTTTGGAAAATTTCGACCTCATGTACCCATGAACTTATGAACAAACAGGATACTTGCGTCATGTGTCAAGTGGGTAGGAATATTTCTAAGGCCACAGGATATAAACAAAGTATAGCATTGTTGTTCAACGCAATTCCTGATAGAGCCACTTATCTCGTAATTGCAAATATCGTTTATAAATTTCTTTATTTTTTGTCTTTAATATGGTAATAATTTCTCCCACATTTTTTAACAATAAATAAATAAAGAATCTGTTCTATAAACCTGCAAAAAGTAATTATTTTATTACCTTATCAGTAGTAATAAATATTCAAACGTAACTGAATCTAAAAGACTGAAATTGGGACCATTATTTTAATTTTTTTTTTCAGAAACATCTCTAACCGTGGATGGTATAATGTATGTGATAGACTGTGGTTACTGCAAGCTGAAGGTCTACAATCCTAGGATTGGTATGGATGCACTGCAGGTAATTTTTTTAAATAATAATATTAATAAAAACAAGCCTGTTTAATTTCCAATTTTGACAAAAAAAGAGTAAATTGCTTAGATTTGGTCTATACATTTTTTTCTTGTTCCTCGATATCTTAACTTCCTTCATCTAAAATGAAAGCTAATAAACAAGTAATTATATAATGACGATAATCAAATGTGTACCTACTTATATAAACTAGTTTGAGTTTAATTCAGTCTTGTGTCCGAACATAGCTCGCGTCTTTTGGTCCTTCGAGCCGGATGTGTAAGGGAATAAAAAAATAAATTTACTTTTAAAGCCGCAAAGCTCAATTCATGATTTTTGTATTCGTTATATTACTACTTTTGTATGGTAAACTGACCATACAATATTCGTGTTGTCTTCAAAAGTCGATGGAATTCTTCCCAATTTTCATCACACAGCTTATTAAAACAAGATAAAAATGATAAAATTTAATTGTGTTTTTACCGTTACCATTTGCTACTTTTAAACTAAAATAAACAATATATTTGATAATACTAAAGGGATCCGTTTTTTGTATATAATTGATTTTCAGCAATGTGCCGAGTGTGAGAGAAGAAAATTGGCTTTTCTTATAGTTTTATAAACGCTTGTAAATTATAAATGGTGCTTCCAGATTATCAAAAATAATGGTGTGATATTTCCAGATATATCCCGTAAGTCAAGCCAACGCCAGGCAGCGCGCTGGTCGTGCCGGGAGGACTGGCCCGGGAAAGGCATTTTGCCTTTACACGCAGAGGCAATTCCAACACGAGTTGTTATCGGCCACTGTTCCCGAGATACAGAGAACGAATCTGGCAAATACTGTGCTGCTGTTGAAGTCTTTGGGCGTAGAAGATCTTCTGGCGTTTCACTTTATGGACCCTCCACCGCAGGTATACTTATTGTTCATTATTAAAATTTGTTTTATTTAAGACAGATTTTTCCTGTTTGTAATTTTATTTTAAAAATCAGGTGGCACTTCAACCATTGAATGTCCCCTGATTGTACTTCTTAATTTTTAATAGGCAACTATTTGATCACCCTTCTTTGCCAATTTGTAGATCTCCAGTTTGTAGGCAATGTACTTTACCTTTCCTGTGTGTAATTATCATGCAAGCAAAGTCATTTTTAAGGCGTGCAGACGCAGCCAATATTAGGACTCCAATAGACCATTGTCTCTCTCGTAATGAATAAAAAATTGTCTTAGAGTACGCATACATATTATAGCATATACATATATAGCGTTTGACGACTCATTGGTCTAGTGGTTAGTACCCCTGACTGCGAATCCATGGGTCCCGGGTTCGATCCCCGGCTGAGACGAACATCGATGTGATGAGCATTTGGTGTTGTGCTTAGGTCTTGGGTGTTTAATAATGTATTTATACGTCTATCTATCTATAATATGTATGTATATCCGTTGCTTCACCAGCTAAGCATGGGGCTAGGTCAATTGGTGTGAATTGTCTGTAAAAAAAAAAAAAAAGTACCATCAGGACTCGGAGAGTTGCAAGCATTGATCAATCAACTAAAGTCTTAGCTATAAATTTTAGATTAAGTTTAGTAATTCTATATCTTTTTAGTGTTACATGTAATTTATTTTTGTTGATTTGGTTTTGCACTTCTTGCCTGGAAGCGCATGTTAGCGATAAGGGCGGGCCATATGATTTATGTTATTTGTTTTTCTTTTAATGTAACTTAGTTTAAATATATAAATAATATATAGCATTACTATTTTGGGTATTGGATATTGGGGTATTAAATAAATAATAACTACTTTTAGCTTTTTACGGTATCCCATTATTACAGGACACAATTCTAAACTCAATGTACCAGCTGTGGATTCTTGGAGCCCTTGACGGCACGGGGGCTCTAACGCCGCTGGGCCGGCAGATGGCGGAGTTCCCCTTGGACCCGCCCCAGTGCCACATGCTTATCGTGTCCGCGCAAATGGGTTGTAGTGCCGAAGTACTTATCATTGGTATGCCGCGTTCAATTAATTATTTCATTCACTGTTCAGATTACTTTATTGACTTCATTCACATTAGGTTTCATTGTTAGATGAGGTCACTTATTGGACTTTTTTTTTTTTTAATTTTTATTGCAAGAATATGGTACAAATGCTAAGGTGATACAATCATAAATCGTTCGCATATTCTGCCACACACGATGGCGCGCAAATTTGTCTTAAAGAATTTTACAATATTATTCAAAGTCAATTCTTATATTATCTAGTCTATTATATTATATACATTACATCATTAACTTTATTTATTGCCAATGATGTCAAAATGTGGTCGCCTTCACTCGGAATTATAAAGGATTGGTAGTGGTCATTTTCATCAGATCATAGTTATATTAGATCGGGTTTATAGATTTGGTTTTAATTAAAAAGTAAGACGTTTTAGAACTACAAGAATGCTAAACGGCCCGTCTTGTCATCAAGAACTGTCTATTTTCTTAAAGGCCGACAACGCACTCGCGAGCCTTCTGCCATTGAGTGTGTCCATGGGCGGCGGTATGACTTAACATCAGGTGAGCCTCGTGCCCGTTTGCCCCCTGTTCTATAAAAAAATATGTTGATAACCACAAAACAGTTCAATAATTAAATTTCAACTAAATCAAAATCTTTATAGATAGACTAGCTGCCCCGCAAACGTTGTTTTGCCATGTACCTACATTATTTCTCGGAAACATTTTTTAGTTCAATAAAAATAACTATCTACTATATTAAAAAATAGGTGGGGTCTCTAGAGGGGTGAAAATTTAGGGTTGTAAGTATGCATTTTTTAATGGCACATTATAAAAAAAAATTAAATTTAAATTTCGTCCAAAAAATAAAAAAAAAATTTAGGGGTGGACTACCCCTAACATTTAGGGGGATGAAAAATAGATGTTGGCCGATTCTCATAGATACCGGATAAGCACAAAAAAATTCATCAAAATCGGTTCAGCCGTTTCGGAGGAGTATGGCAACGAAAACTGTGACACGAGAATTTTATATATTAGATATTTGATTAAAACCAAATTGCGTAGTGTCAATGCTGTCCGTCCCCACGGTGTTCTACCGACCTCAAGGGCGGGAGGAAGAATCCGACTCGGTGAAAGAGAAGTTCCAGGTGCCGGAGTCCGACCATCTCACTCTCCTGCATCTCTACAACCAGTGGAAGAGTAATAAGTAGGTTTATTACTATAACAATGTTTTATTACTTGTTCCAACATGTACATTTTTTAAAAATAATTATGTTAACTTTAATGCTGAAAGTTATATATTTTTGAATTTGCTATATTCCGTTACACGAATTAATGACATAATTTCATCAAAAATAGTTCAGTAAAAATGACTAATGGTATCCCCCTTGTTCTTTAGTATGTCAAGAAGTTTTATATTTCAAAGGACACGCAGTAAACATGACTCGATTTTTAGAATATATAGGTTATATTTAATTATATATATATATACCAATGGCGCTATAGATTTTTGTATCTGTTCGTTATGATCCGTGATCATTTCTAATAGGCAACTAGGGGACCTTTTGACACACACCGTCGACCTTTTGGGTCTAAGGTTTCCTCACGATGTTTTGTTTCGCCGTACGAGCGATAATTAAATGAGCACATAGACGTAAACTCCATTGGTGCATGGGGATCGAACCTACGGCCCTGAGATTAGTGTCGCATGCTGAAGCCACTAGGCCAGCACTGCATTATTTTTAATAACATTAACGAAATATAATAAAAACGTGCGAAACTTAAGCGTGTAACTTTCATCGTGAGAAAAACAGCGTTGCTGTTTGTAGACCCAAAAATCGTATCTAAAGTTCATTCGTGTTTTCCAGTTACTCAAGTTCTTGGTGTACAGAGCATTTCGTGCACGCGAAAGCGATGCGCAAAGTGCGTGAGGTCCGACAGCAGTTGAAGGATATCTTGCAACAGCAGAGACTGCCGCTCTTGTCCTGTGGGACGGATTGGGATACAGTGCGGAAGTGTATTTGTTCCGGTAAGAATATATGTTATATAATAATAATAAAAGCCTTTATTGCTGTAATTACTTATACCTACTAGTACATACAAATGTGAAATACAAAAAATTCACACTAAAAATAAATATATAAATACTAATAATTAATCGGCAAGCCGGTTGGTTGGTTTGTTTCTGTTCTGCAGCTTGTCCTTGGACATAGGCCTCCTCTAAGGGCTTCCACTCTTCTCTGTTTCTAGCTTTACGTAGCCACATAGGGCCAGCTACTCTTCGCACATCATCTACCCATCTTTTTATTTGTCTTCCTCGTTTTCTTTTATATGTTATTTAAAACAAGTTATATTCAAAGTTGATTGTAATCTAATCTTTTCATGTCGAAAATTAATACAAATTATAAATTAAATTTTTTAAATTTATTTCTTCGATAATAATTACACGTGGCATTTTAATTTACAATTCGTCATTTGAGATTTCAATAAATTATTTTGCATGAAATATAAAATATGTAAAAAACTGTTTAACCGGATTGAAGTTATGTATTATTATAAATTTACAACTATTTAACATAATTTTAAATTTATCCGACGTTTATCGAATTATCTTTAATAATTTTTAAATGTGTAAAGGTTATGTAAATCAAAGACAATACTATAAAATATGTACTAATATTTCATAAATTTCTATAAGGTAATTCGCCCTTCTCACTCTCTCTCAATCGGTCTCAATCGCTCTCTCCCTTTTCCTCAACAAAAATGCTGCACATCTTCGTGACTCTAATATTATTATTGCGTTTCATCCGAAAAAAAATTACCCTCATCCGCCTAAAGAGGTTCACTTCAGTAAAATTGTTATTTTCTTATGTAAATAGCGCCATTTTAATCATCAGCTAACTCGATCCACGTCGGCGTCTTTGTTACCATAGATATTTAGTTTTAGTTTTTTTTCAGCGTACTTCCAACAAGCAGCCCGTCTGAAGGGCATAGGGGAGTACGTGAACTGTCGGACAGGCATGCCTTGCCACCTCCACCCCACTTCGGCGCTATTCGGTCTGGGCAACTCGCCCGACTACGTGGTCTACCACGAGCTGATGATGACCAGCAAGGAGTACATGCACTGCGTCACGGCCGTGGACGGAAGGTGGCTGGCGGAGTTGGGACCCATGTTCTTCTCGGTCAAGGAGACCGGCAAGTGAGTAGCTAAGCTATTTCTAGACTCACCTGAAGATACTGGGTTCGATGTCTAGTGAAACAAAAATTGCTCTGGGAGGACCAGAATGATCTTGGTTTTTAGTAATAAAACAGATATATGCTTGACCCGTGGGAGGTCTGTCTGTATGTATAACAATAAAAAAAAAAAATTAAAACCAAAGGGTAAGGGGGCGGTTTAAAATTTTTTAAAAAATTTTTTTGGTTTTCTTTTTTAATGCAGGGCGGGGATTAAATTATGCGTCATTGTAAATATGATTTTCGTTTTATATACTTAGGTACAGAAAAACGTTACGGCGCGTTACGCGTTAAAATTGCGTGACGTAATACTTCTCCTCCTTTGTTTTTTTGGAATAAAAAATACTATTAATTTACAGCTTTTATATGGCCAAATTTCACCTAAAAATATGATACAATAGAGTTATTTTTATAAAATTAACAGAAAACCTTTTGCTATCCATTAATCTTTACCATCTTTTTGTTCCCTAAAACTTTATACGAAGAGATAAAATCAAGTAGATAATGTATTAAAATGACAAATTATCATGACATTGCAGAACAAACCGCGACAAGCGCAAAGAAGCAGCAGTCCACTTGCAGCGGATGGAAGAGGAGATGAAAGAGGCCGAACATAAGATGGCGGAAGAGAAGAAGAAGAAAGATCAAGACGTTCCTGTCAAACAGGAAGTCGCTACACCCGGTTTAGCCACGCCCAAGCGAACGCCTCATAGATTTGGATTGTAGATAATAGACAATAAAAATCTATTTCTTTACTGTTTTGTTTATTTTCTACCATTTTATTAAGACTTAAAAAACTTCATATATAATGTTATTATTTTTTTGAACGCAAAAATGAGGCGCGCGCGCCGCTGACACGCATCGAAAAAATTTATACCCAATTCATGCGGATTACAGATAATAATAGAAAACCATTATATGCATGAAAGATAACATTTCGTTTTAATGAAACCTTTTATTTTAAAAATACTTATTAGAAGATAATAATTTCAATCATAAATTCTTGCCAAACCCAGTCTCTCTCGACCAATGGTGAAATAAGAGCGGAGAAAATGAATTTATTGTCATTTTTCAACCCCAACATTACGCATATAAGACGACTATACGGAAATGCTTGATTTCCAAAATATATTAATAATTTCTTTAATATGGTAGACATCTTTAATTACGTGTTTTTGTCACTGAACTGACTTTTAGTATGCGTTTGGGTGGAGCCCAGAATGGTTTAGATTCACAAATCAGCCATCGGCCGTCGCTGTGTGTAGAGTATATTTTTTCAAACCAAAATTAAATTTTAAGTGCACAGTAATAATACTCATGAAGTGACTGCAATCATATTTGTATCTCGTAGAGTATGGCCGTTTGAGATAACACAATATTATATAATAACTTCTTAGCCCCGCATTTCAAAATATATCGTGAAAATGTCTCAATTCGCAATCGCCTCTTGAACTGTCAATGTTCACAACTCTTGAAATAAGATTTGTTTAACTCGATTTTATAACCAATTATCTTAAGATTGTTAGCATGTAGTAGAGTAGATATCATGGGAAATCTGAAACGGTATGAAGTTTTTGATATCGACTGTCATCCACAGGTTGAGGTATATTTTTGTGTCTTTCAGTATTCTTTTTTAGAACAGAAATCCTATGAAGTGAGTGAATTCCTTCCATGTGATGCAGACTTATTTCTGTGTCTGCTTCAGTTTAGTTTTATTGGTCAGTATACGAATATACTGTATAATATAACACACAATAATATATATACACATATAATCAAAGGAATTGAATAAAAAATAACATTTAGAAACAAAACCTTTTTATTTATAACGACTAAAATAATTACAAAGAACGAAATTGGAAGCAACACGGCAGTTGATCATCTGCTAGGGAAATATACAAATTGTAAAAAAACCTTTTCAAAAATGACATTTATCGTTGTTTTCGAAGATTCACAATAGTTAAAACGGTACATTATTTTAAAACTCGTCTTTAATTTAAAAACCCATGTAAAAACCATCGTAATTATAGAATCGGCATTATTTCGTTAGTAAATCTCTTCAATAGGTAAATTTCTAGGATACAACTAAAACTTAATCTACAAACACGAAAAAATCACTATTTTATACAGATGCCCTAAGTCTGGAACATTTTTGACATGAACAAAAAAATATACTTATGCATGGCCGAATTTTTTCAAACTTTAAGCCTTTATCATTTAATAATTCATACATTAGTACAATTTAAATCACCAATACTCAAATTAAAGTATCCTACCTGTATATAGAGTGAGAGAGACAACAATAGCGTAGTTAGTAAGGAAGATAGAGACAGCCCCGTATCTCAGTTTGAAATGAGAGCTGATTATTTTAAAATAATAATAAAATAATGCCTATTTTCGGCAAAACTACTGGACTATTAAGGAAGCATAATAATAATGCAGGCTAATAAACTGAGTAAAAATGAGGCATTTATGAATTTAGGCACCATCGTTTAAATATTTCAAAGAATAAGCCTCTACTTTATGCGGCTCTTGTTAAAATAATTTGTATTTTTTCTAATTCTCTATTTTAAGAGATCAGCGCCATTCAATTTTAAATATATGATAGGTTTAACCTTTATATATTTATTGACCTATTTAATAAAATATAGCTTTATCTATTTATTGTTTCGACTACATATCGATACAAATTTATATAAACAAAATTTTATTAAGACAATGTCGAAAAATCAAACTAAAAAATTTCTCAGCTATTTTTTTTACAAATGAACCAATTGAAAGAAAAGAGTTATAACCAGTAATCATTTATATATCTATAAATCCAAATAAAAAAGCGAAAAATCCTTGATTAGCAGCTAACGGCGATACGATGTTTTTCGATGTATTTCTGTCTCGCTTCCGCAATCATCTGCGCTTTTCTCTCTTGGAAGCTCATTTGCCTTTCCTTGGCCGTCTTAGGGAAGACCCCCGTGGGGCACGGGGTCACATATTTCGGGCTTGGAGCGGAAGTAGAAGGCTGGGGTTCTGGCCCCGGCTCTGGGGTATAGGGCGTTAGGCCTTCGAGGAAGTTTGTTATCGTCACGTCGACACTACGGGTTTTTGCTGTAATAAAGTTATGTATGAAATGTCAATTTTTAAAAAACATTTTTTTTAACAAATGTCAATGGTGTACGCAAATCATACATTTAAATAAAATATATTTTCAAATAGATTTAGCATTACTTATGTGTTGCAGAGCCGTGTGCCTAGTGGCTTAGGCCTGCGACTCAGATCCCTGAGGTCGTAGGTTCAATTCCCGGATGTGCACCAATTGACTTTCTTGCTATGTGCGCATTCAACATTCGCTCAAACGTTGTAGTAAAATATCAGAAGATACCTACTTGGCTATTAGATTGACACATGATCATGAAACAGATACAGAAATCTGAGGCCCAGACCTAAAAAGGTTATAGACATTTTTTTATGTGTTCGTCCCTTTAATATGCAAGAAATATTTTCGAAGATTCTTTTCAAAAGATATAACTATGTTAGGCAAGAGTTTGTCTTTGAACTTGTCACTGACTTTTATTAAATCGGTCCTAATTTACTATTAAAAATAAAAATCCTCACCAAGGTCCTTCATAATATCCTGCAAGGGCACATTCGGCAGGACTTCCTTGACCTGCCTGGCCAAGCGGGTCCGCTCGTTGACGGGGGCCGACGGCTGAGCTCTGGAAGAGGCTCTCGCGCGAGGCAAGACCAGGCGCCTTATATCCTCGCTGTTCAATTCTGTTGCTTCCACCTAATATTACGAGTATAAGTTACGACGATAATTTTTTTTAAATTGGACAAAAAAGATAGACACTATACAAAAACAAAAATATGAAAAATTTGCCGTCCTTGCTCACAAATTTTATCTGGTAATATCCAACAGCTATGTAATACGTAATTTTTGACAATTAATTTTTTTTTGGCAGTTTACTTTTTTAAATTACTTTTATAATATTTGGTAACATTTTTTTTCTAAAGACCTCATTTGAAATTTGTTCGTTTCTATTTAAACTACCATGATCGACCAACTCGCAACAACTCCGACTGGTATGAAACCAGGGGTGAGGTCACGTGAGTCATGCTAAGCACTCGCAAGTTTTGGGAAGTTTTAGTTTTAAAAATCACATTATAAATAACTAGAATAATAGATTAGAAGGGGAACTGTATTTTTTAAGCTTACGCTACGCCTCACCTGAAGTGATTCAGCAATCGCTTGTCTGATCCGTTCTCCAAAAACTTGGTCATTATCTCCATCCCTCTCCAGGGGAGGTAAGGCTCTCACAGAGAACACAGAGTAAGGGGAACAGAGGAACCAGAGTAGATCCCGCCAGGGGAAACGACGACCTGCTTCTGAGTGACGGTGGACTGTTACTGTTGTGAATGGACGCTCTACACCTGAAAAACACATACATTGGAATGGATTTGTACCGTAAATTCCTTTAATTTTTTTTTCTGCATAATTTGCATTTGAGTTTTTCTCACACCTTAAAAAATCCTTTATTAATTAAAACAAAGTCTTGCACTTGGTATGGAAAGTAACAGCTAAGTGCTTTAGTAAACTCACACTCAAAATATCTTAATTCATGTAGATAAACAAGTACACTTATGAATTGTCAGAAAGAAGTTAAATTAATCGTAAATTTACATTTACTACCAGTTCGCAAGTCAAGGGCTTAGCGCGGGTAAGAAGAGACTTTCCGCCACTCTTTTTAATCGACAAGTATTGTCATACAAATTGTTTGAACACAACAAGGCTTCAAGAATAGACCAGAAGTAACAATGCACATTGACTGAATTATTTCTTATGGAGGGACTCATACTTAATTCCCATCCACATCTGAATTCCTTTGGAGATTTTTTCAAGTAGACATAAGTATTAAAAGCAATAGGTAATTGTCTCTTTTTCTCAATTTTCTTTCGACAATAAATAATTAAAATTCTCAAGTCCCGACAATCTTCAAGTTCCTTTCCGAATACCTTCGTGGTACCAACATAAGAGGATGTTCCAAATGTTAGGTCAAATATATTTTTGCAAATAAATTACATTCTTCTTTATAAATTAGAAAATCTTAAAACTGTTAAACAGACTTTATTTATATCCTTAAGAAAAGAAACTTATATCCAACAAAAATTTCATGTTCTATTTCTTTGTCTGATGCTGAACAGTGAAAAACACTTTGTTATATAATTTTAATTGTTTAATTTATTACACACATATTTTTATTATAGCTAGATTTAGCGTAATTTTATTCTGTAAATATTTTTTCTTTATTACGATTTGAGTATATGATAGGAGTGCAACTATATCTCTTACAGATTGCAATAATACTAAACTGGACAGGACACTTTTCCATTATTAACCTAATGCACATATTTAATAAAATACTTACTGATAGCAATAGGCTGCACAATATTGGGCAACGGGAAGGAACAATCTGTAAACTTTAGCAGTCCTTTGCCATTCGTAGGTCCACCTTCTGGCTGCAATAGCACTGGTTTATCGGGACTCTCAGCAAAATGTTGCCTAAAATTAAATTCTTTTAGAACAAAATCCAAACACAATTTACCCATAACAAAAATATAATTTTTTGAAGAATAACATATTAATTCAGAATCCACAAAGTGTATATTTAACATCAATAGCATGCAGATAAAAACTAAATCGTTAATTCAAAAGCTACAAAGCAAATACAACTTACTTCCTAACAAACAAAGCAACATTCTTTATACCAAGAGTTGAGGCAAAAAATGGTGGCACTTTCCATTTTCTTAACTGTAATAAGAAAACATTTGATTATTTCATATATAATACACTTATATATAACTTCAGAGTTAACCTTGTAAATCATCAAGGTCAAAAACGATGTATTTGAAATTATATGGTAATGTGTTTTGACTAACATAAAAATAGAATTAAATTAAGAATCAAAAAGATTTATAGATTGCTATAGGCCTTAATTTAGGAGGAATGAAGATTGCTACAATAATCTAAATATAATTATTATAATTCTATTATTTATAATATTAGTTGTTTTAAACAATGATAAGCAATAAATATGTACTTATATCTAATCTAGAAGAATTAATATTTACGTCACAAATATATTATTTTTATGTTTTTCTTCTATAACGACCTTCTGGAACTTCTGCTAACTGTAACTTTTTAATTCAATTCATATAAAAAGTACTATATTTTGCAGATACTTACAGTTATACTTCCAAGAGCTCGGCTAGCGGCAAGTGAATCCAAACATGACACATAGTTAGCTACAAACACACTGCACTTTGGATCTTTGTTACCTTTTTCCTTTATGTAAACTCCTGGAAATTAAGAATTATAACATTTAAAGAAGATAATAATTATCATATAACTACTAGGACCAGTCTGACATTTGACAATACCCTAGTTGATATAGGAAATAAAGCATATTAAAAGCATTAGGATAACAATTGTAAAATATGTTTTCCTCATGAAAAACTTTTCAACAAGCCTTTTAAATTGTTTTAAGGTAATAAATATAATTATCTTACCAAAAGTCAAACATGCCAGTGTTGATATCAATTGCCTAGCAGCAAATTTGTCTGGCAAAATAAATGAAGCAATCCATAATATACAGGCTAAAACTATTCTTAATGCCATTAATATCAATCCAAACGGCAGATATAACAGAAATTGAATGGGATTGTCCCCACAAAACCTGAAAGGTTAAATAAGTTAACAAATACCACTTTCCCTTGAAAATATTGAGAAACGAGCATATTTTATTACCTTTCATCGTTGATGAGTTTTTCTGCTGTTAGAGCCATATTTTGTTCAGTTGTGTACTACAACTACGCTCGCTATTATTTACAATAAAACTTTATTAATATCGATAATATGAAAGAACATTAAAATTTGAGAGTTTTCTTATCATATTTTGATTGTATTCAATACTTCGTCCTTTTTCGATACACTCGATATAATAATTTTGACAATTTACTAATGCTATGACACATCTTTTATTCCACAGATTCTGCGCTTAAAACATTTTATCACGTGGATAGTCAGGTGCTTTCAAATAAGGAGATAAAAAAACTGAGATTCCCTTGGTCCTAAAGTACCTTGGATAAAGTAATTTAATTATTATTAAAGCTTTATTACAATCCATACAACAATTGGATAGTTTTCATTTCTTAAGACGAGTATTAGTTGTAAAAATTTTAAGTTAATTTTAATTCTTTTTTCTTTTTTAATGGTCCAGTTTTTGTATGGCCCCTTTTAGGGTAAAAGCCTCCTCCATATTTTTCCATTTCTCTTTGTCTTTAGTAACATTCATCCAGATACTTTCGCTCAAGGAATTTAATTAATTACAGCCTTATAAAAATAATGGTAACGAAAGTAACACGGCATTCTAAAAACCCGTGTAAACGTAGAATGAACAAAGAATGATTTCTTAATTATAGTATCATAAACCTTCTTAATTTATTACGACGAATCAACTAAAACAATACAATATCGTCTGAGTGTAGTCCTTTTTAGTCATTATGCCATTTTATTAAAAAATTAAGACCAACATTGTTTTCAACAAAAGTCCAAATACACCTACATGACTATAGAACTTATAAATAAAATCATTTGCGAAACTAAGACAACGTTTAGGTAAATATACTTTTAGTGAACAACACAAAACAAATATTATGTTATTTGTCATGATAGTTTTGATTGACAGTATACTTCTATTTTATAAAGCAAATTGAGTATCCTGTTATCTGTAACTATTTCGGACTTCCGTAGTCTGTATATCCTTAGTGTCGGGTTGTCTGTGGTGCCTGGTGGAGTCTGGTGCTAAGCTAGAGAAATCAGAAAGGTGTTGATAATAAAAAATTAAAAACAAAAACCTAAAATTGAGAGACCTTAGCCTTGATCTGAAAAGAAACTAAAGAAGCAACATAAAGGTAACGAACTCAATTAAATTTATAAATTATGTCTATAGCTATGATAAAAATTATTTAGAAACAAAGAAAAAGGGAAGCAATTACGTGCAAGAAAACTGTGTTGTTGACCTTAGTAGTATTTATATATTGTAATAGTAACTGTTATTCCAGTTTGTTCCAATGGATACTATTGTTTCAACGCCGGAGGAAACAGCCTCAGATTTAGAAGAGGATATAAAAGTAATAAGAAATCCTTCCAATAGTAGAAACAATGAATGTTTTACTTCACGGTCAACTTCTACTTCGGACATACACCAACTTGAGGAAAAAATGAGACGCAAGTTGCAGTTTTTCTTTATGAATCCGATCGAGAAATGGCGAGCGAAACGTAAATTTCCATACAAATTTGTTGTGCAGGTGATTAAAATAGTATTGGTAACACTCCAACTTTGCTTGTTTGCCCATAACAGATACAATCATGTAAATTACACCTGGGACAATCGTATAAGTTTTTCTCATTTGTTTTTACTTGGATGGGACTCTACTCGCGAAATAAATGCCTATCCACCTGGTGCGGGGCCCTTAGCTGTTTACAAACTTGATGAGTTTTACAATACCCTTGATTTTGCATATAATGGTTATACAAATATATCCAATGCTATTGGCCCATATTCATATGACAATGAAGATAACAATATGACAGATCCTGTTTTTTGCCAATACAATTACAAAAAAGGTATAATCTATGGATATAATGAAAGTTATGAATTTAATTCAGAGATTGTTAGAAGTTGTATAAATTTTTCAAATAATGAAGGGCAGCTATTTACTTCTAAACAATATTTGAATGATACAGGGTTGGACATTAACTTTGCAGCATTAGTGAGAGCAGAACTTATGTTTTCTTTGAAGACAATAAATCTAAGAGCAGCTGGACCAATTACACCACCTGATTGTTATCGTTTTGATATTGCTATAATATTTGACAATGAAGATCATGATGGTCAAATGTCCTTAACCCTGGAGGCTGAACCTTACAAACTTGCCTGCAAAGGTGATCAAGCTTATATTACTGATAACCAAATTGACCAAATTTTGAGAAGCATTTTGAACATATTTGTGATTATTATTTGTAGTGCATCACTTATGTTATGCAGTAGAGCTATTTATCGTGCACAACTATTAAGAGAATTGACTAACCAATTCTTTATTAAAACATATGATCGACCCTTAAGTTTGGATGGCAGCTTAGAATTTTTAAATATGTGGTACATAATGATCATTGTTAATGATATCTTAATCATTATGGGATCCGCTATCAAAGAACAAATTGAACGAAATCAATATACAAACGATCAGTGGAATGTTTGCTCATTGTTTTTGGGAACAGGGAATTTATTAGTATGGTTTGGTGTACTTCGATATCTAGGATTCTTTAAAACATATAATGTTGTTATACTAACATTGAAGAAGGCTGCTCCAAAAATCTTTAGATTTTCATTTTGTGCTCTTCTTCTATATGCAGGCTTCATGTTCTGTGGATGGCTAATACTAGGTCCGTACCATATGAAATTCAGATCACTTGCCACCACATCTGAATGTCTTTTTTCATTAATAAATGGAGATGACATGTTTGCAACATTCTCAATCATGTCCAAGAAATCACCTATGTTATGGTGGTTCAGTAGGATATACTTGTATTCATTTATAAGTTTGTACATTTATGTTGTACTCAGTTTATTTATTTCGGTTATCATGGATGCATATGATACAATAAAACAATATTATAAAGAAGGCTTTCCAAAGAGTGATTTGCAGCAATTTATTGGTGAAGCAAGCGTTAATGAAGTGTCCTCGGGCTTATACAGAAGTCAGAGTTCAACGTCTTTGAATGCTTTTATGAATTCCTTATTTTGTTGCAATGTGTATCGAAGTGCTTATTCAAAAATAGGAATAGGTAATTCCACCTTTAATTTGTTGTAAGCTCAAATGTTTAAAATTAGTTTAAATTTTCTGTAGCTGTATTGTAAATATGTACTGTAATGTATATTAGATCTTTTTTGAGTTACCAATGTTGTACAACCACCAAAAAAAGGTGGCTTTATATATTATTATGATAATAATGAATACTGTTGAATTTTATTATACTAGAAATTAATTAATTATAATCAAATACCAAATATCATTATTTTAAGGTGATTACAGGCATTGTATTCAAGTATTCTGTCCATTATTTAATTATATAATAAAGCATGTTTATATCAACAGTGATTTTATTATTTTATATGCCTGTGTCAGAATGTGTTTCTTAATATACTTTCATAAGTCAAGTAGCAATATGAATAATGAAATTTTGTTTTGATGATTACTCACATAAATTGTCAATCTAGGTGTGGCATTTGAAAACAAATTATTTTTAAGCGTTCTAAGTACGACATATTCTTATTATTCCCAACTCAAAATACCTTTATTCATATAGGTAAACAATTTCACTTATGAACGTCAAGAAGTTGTAAATTTACATTTACTACTAGTTCGCAAGTCATGGGCGTAGAGCGGGTAAGATTAGAAGTTGATATTTGCATTATACTGTATGCTATATCTATATGTTATGGGAGATAAGATAAAGACATCAAAATGATGGAAGCAATGCAAATATGCCACCCAGTGCTGCAACATTTAAAATAAATTTAGTAGTTGTCAAAAATCTTATTTTGATACGGCTATAGATGAATGAGAATTTATGGAGTTCAAAATATAAGAAATCTTCTACAAATACGTCATCAATAATACCGTAAATGCCTTATTTTTTTTATACTATATAGATGTCCAGGTGAACTTCGTATCACCTACATAATATGTGTTTGTGTCAAAACTTACAGACCAATGAGTTCGGACTAATAAAGCTATGAAACAGAAATTTCTGAATGTATCTATAAATTTATGACAACTTAGTGACAATGTTTTATTTCTAATAAACTATGAACAGTTTGGAAATTTGGAATTGGAAAATTAAATTGTAGTCTGTGTCTTTATTTATTATTTGTCATTCCCGCTTAACTCTTGCCTGAACCACAAATATTTCAAACTCATTTAAAGTAGCCAAATTGGTTCTGAAATTCTCGGGTTTTAGCGAGACAAACGAACAGCAATTAAATTTTATATGTATATATTTTACAATGTTAACAGAGCGAATGACATCAATGACTAAATATTTCTCAAATCTCAATATTAACATTTGTTGTTGCTCCGGGCATCGAACCCTGGACTTCCTAGTTAAATCATAATGTATTAATAAGCAAATCGGATAGCCATATAAGCCACGAAGCAGATAAATAAGAATTATTAAAATCGTAGTTATGCCTGTTTTCCGTAAACAAACTCGTTAGAGTCAATTTATGATTATTATGGAGATATTATATTATTAATGTAAAATATTACTTCTCTATCTCTTTTATTAATGTTACACATTTATGTATGATAACTTTTAATACTGTTAATTTACACGCCTTCAATTCAAACGCCTTCTTGAAGTTTTTGCAATGGTTTTTCAAATAAATCTAAAAAATAAAACTAAATCGAATCGTTATATCAAAATAACTCATCTATTTCTTTACAGCGTAAATGCACGCAGTGCACTATATTTATTTTTATGAATAAGAGAGTTTCTGTACAGTAATTCAAAGTCCAGGCAAGCTTATGTACCTATTTTTTATATATTAATTTATAGGACCCCTACAAAGTATCTAGACTTTCAGGCACGCCATCAGTGATCAGGCAGATCTGTGGCCGAGAAGCCAGGCAGCAGGGGAGTGTCAAATCTCGTCTTTCCTAAAAATGGACTTTATTTACTTAACACCTTCAATTACGTTACGCGTTACTTCAATGCGAAACTTAAATTAGACTAAATACTTCCCATTTAGTCGAACTTAAGTTTCGAACTGTGCGGCAGTCAGTTGTCCATGTTTTGAGCACGGTGCGGAGGTTGAATGTCTATGTTCTCGAGCATGTAAAATCAGATATCTAGATATATTACCGGTATTCTTGCTTCAAGTGTGTTCAATTTTGCAACGACAAGATCATTTCCGTACAAAAGTGTACGGAAATTATCTTGTCGTAACGCACTGAAATTAAATAATTTTCCTCTGAAACGATACGGGATCTATTTGGTGGGCGTATAATTTGCGAGCGCGCGGGCCTTCAGTTTGCCGTAGTGCAGGGCGCATTTCATACGTATATACACGTCTCGCTATTCTTTGACGGCACGCAAAACACGAAACATTATTTTCGTACAAGCGATCACGAAGAAGCTTGATTTGAGAAAAGCAATAAAGGCAGAAGGTGAAAATTATAATTTTTAGAAAAGAAAGTTCCTATTGTTTTAAGCATTTATGTAAAATAGGTAAGGAGAAAATATATTTCTGTTAAGGGAAAAGATATGGTATCTTTATTGATTTATTTACACTTCGTTACCTTATACAAAAGCATACATATAAAAAAGCAGGTTGCATAAGTTATTAGGCAATTTTTTAGTTAGTTTTTGAAGATTTTGCAAATATTTCTCGAAACTTATAATCTTGTTAGATACAAAGCATAACATTACTTCTATGCGGCATGAGAAGTATTTTCTCGTAAAATCAGTAATTTTGAATAATTAATGATAATAATTACTGTAGCTTAATAGACACATTGATGTAAACTATAGATTAGTTCAAAAATTGTTTAAACGCGTTGAGTTTTCATGTCTTTAAGGATCTTGGAAGTCAGGATCTGACAATATGTCGTAAAGCATAGCTGGTATCATTGTTACGGGTAGTACATGACTATAGCACTGGCAGTAAGACTTGTTGTAGCACCAACGCATTGAAGGTGTTAAAAGGCTTGGCCTCTCCCGCCGGGCCGGGCGACAACTACTCCGGAAATATCCTCATGATATTTATGGGCGAGTCGGAGGCCGCTGGCCGGCGGGTAACAAAATCTGCGTAATTTTACCTTAGTTAGTGCACATCACTAATGTTCTATCAGTCTTACTAATAAAGATTTATGCACATCGTATAAGTATTATAAGAATTTTTTTTGCTAATAATTCCTGAATTGACAAGTCTGATGTATACGGCTGTTATAACAAGTGTTTTGTTTGTAGGAAGACTTATACAATGCTTAAACAACGCAGAGGCCTAGTTTAACAGGTGTATAAGACAAAAAATGGCGTCATATTATCTGTATTTTTTTATGTCTGAGATTTAATAAAAAAATATAATAAGTGTGTAACAATTTTATTAAATGCATCGTTCAATTTGCACACGAACTTTACAAATACGTAATTTATCGAATATGTCCTTAACAAGTGTACATAATATTATACATCTATAAAATAACACTCATTTTAACTTACATATTTAGAACTAAATTAAAAACAGCCAAATTTCATACAATTACTCAATAAATATGGCATTTTATTTTATAAAATAAACTATACAATATGGCAATGTTAATGTAAATAAAATTGTAATGAAATTCTATTCTATAAAAAAATTCGATAATTGTAAATAAAATAGGATTTTTATTACGATAAAATATTTACAATGATTGTATTTTACATTTCCTTTACATACTTTTAACAAAAATAAATAAATTCATAATATCGTAACTTGTGTGAATGAAGCATAGGATGTTTCTTGTCATGTATTGTTCATCCCCTGAAATTATTCTAGCATTTTTTCATTTACATGTGTTTAAAATGTAAATTATTTAACAAATATATAAAAATAGCTGTCCTAAAATACATTCCTACAATCTAACTTTTAATAAAGAAAATGTTCTAAATTCGATATTTGCAAGATACTTTCAGCCATTCATATTGAAAACCAGTCAGACATTAAATTAAATAATGTTAAACTAAATTTCACAGACCTTAGAGCTAATGTGTCGACGAAATCGAAACGATCTTTGGTAGGGAAATAAAGCTACCAATGTTACCAGAGACATCTAGACTACAAAATAGTGTAAAACATTTCAGTCTCTAAAAGCTTATTTCTTTTCCTCCGTGTGTACCGTCTGCGGCTCCGCCCCCAACATTAACTGAATTTCGTCGACACTCTTGCCCTTCGTTTCGGGAATTATGAAGAATATGAAGATAAAACCGACAACCATGATTCCAGCGAACAACCAAAACACCTGACCGGAGCCAATAGAGTTATTCAAGGAGTTGAAAGTGCTCGTCACCGTGAAACTGAGCAACCAATTCAAGGTACCGGCCGTCGAACTGACGAAAGCCTTGATATCGATCAGACACAACTCTCCGGCCATCATCCACGGGATGGGACCGAATCCTATCGAGAAGGCGATAATGAATAGCGACAACGACACTAATGGCAACCAAGACAAGGCCGTCACTATCGAAGAGTCCGACCCGTGCGTGTCTTGTAGGAAGAAATAGACGCCCAAAGCCGTGGAACATATGCACATCACTAGAGCGGAGAACAAAAGGAGAATACGTCTTCCCAACTTATCGACAACGACACTTGAAGCGAACGTCGCTACGACCTGTATGACACCGATAATGATGGTGGCGATGGCCGGTTCGATAGCTGCGCCGGCGCTTTTGAAAATCTTAGACGTGTTGAAGATCACAGCGTTAATACCCGACAGCTGCTGGAACAACATCAGCGCGTAGCAAATCATAACAGCTTTTAAAGCGGTCTTCTTTGTGATCGCGGACCCGAACGAAATCGGATTATTCTTCGACTCTTCGGCTTTAGTCTGTAGACTCGTCAATTCGCTGTCCACGTCGTAATTCCTCCCTCGCAGTCTTATCAAGGAGTCTCTCGCTTCGTCGTGTCTTCCTTTGACGACCAAGAAGTTCGGACTCTCAGGCATAAAGAAGAAGGTAACGGCGAACACAATCGGTATCAAAGTGCAGAGGATGTTAAACACGAAAACGCTAGTGTAGCTACCGACAGCGTACGCGAACAGTATACCGACTGTTACCATCAATTGGAAGAAGCTTCCCAAAGTTCCTCGTATAGAATCCTGGGCTATTTCACTCGTATACGCCGGTGCCGTGACGCAAAACGCTCCACCGGCAATACCGGTTATAAATCTTCCAGTCATGAGCATTCCAACGTTCGAAGCGAAAGTTATCAAGAGCCATCCGATCGTGAATGGTAACGTGAGGAACAACATGGTCTTCTTTCTGCCGAGTATGTCCATTATGAGACCGATTGGGAAACATACTGCCGCCGCTCCCAGATTTATTAAAGATGAAACCCAATCTCCCTGGGATTCCGATATTGAGAAGTTATAGTCTGTGCTGTTATCTTGAGTTATCTTCAATATGACTGGGGATGACCAACCCAGCATAGAACCCGCGGCCAAGGCTCCAAGGGTAGCTGAAAAGAGATACGTGTTTATTACTTTAATTATCTTTTTTGGCATTCTATTTTACAATTTTGTAAACCCGACACATTCCATTTACGTATCTTTTGTTAAAATTTATAGTCGAACCACAGGCTAAATTACGTTAAATAAATCAAGCAATAACTATAATACGTTATTTATTAATAGTTAAAAAACCATATTTGGTATGATTTCAACACTCAAAGAAAAAAGTTAGCTAGTTATCTTTAATTATATAACTCTTTTAAATCCTAGATAAGCAATAATGAAGAAGTACAGATCAGATGGAGGATTACGTAATTATACTCGTTCATTGATTGTTCTGTCTTCATAATTAACATCTATAGAATTTTAAACAAGGCCACATAAAGATGTCAAATGACTAATTATAACTAGAGAATGGCTATTATTTTACTTAAGAATATTGTTCCAAATGCAATTATTTTAATTTTAATTATAGGTATTTAGTCTGTTTTAAAAAAAGAACATTCAAACAAAAGGGCACTATATTATCCAACACTTGTTTAATTGATAAGATTACACTGTTCACCACACATTTAATAATTGATATGATAAATGACGTGCCTACATTAGGACCACAGCCGATGTATGTGGGGAAGCTGGGCAACTTTTTTTTAGACTTTATTAATGTGTGAGATTTATTTAATTAAAATATAGACATAGTCTTAATAACAAAGAACAATCCAGGCTATATCAGTTAGGATTTAATGTTTTATTATAAATACCTGATAGTGCAGCAATGTATTGTGGTAATTTGCGGCCGGTGTCACTATGTGGTTCCACCAGCACTGCCTGAGAAACTCCAACCTCAGCCATTCTACCGTTGTTGCCCTCTGCCTGCTGAAATTTGTTATTGTTATTAATAAACAGTTTACAGGCATCAGGACTTATAAAATATATATGATTGGTAAAACAATAGAAATAAATACAATAGTATAATAGAAGAAAGTAAAAGTAAAGTATTTCCTATTAATATCATATTTTTCAATAGATGTTACAGTCATGAAGTTAAGTAAACATGTACTAGGTAATCCCAGGATATACTTTTGCTTTCCATGGAATATTGTTTCCATTCGTTTTTTATTTTATTTAGAAAGGATTCTGGAATCACAGGAGTTTTGTAGTGTAGTTTTCAGTACTTAAATAAGTAATTTTTTTTTCAATACTTATTGCTAATAAAAGATTTAAAATAAAGTTTATATGAAAGGTAATTGTATGTTTTAATGCATACAAATATTTCATTTTTAATATTTGTTAAGAAATTTACAATTGAATGTACTCATTATTATTACTATTTACAATTGATGTGTAGCACTAGCTCAAAAGTGTTTCATAAATTTTAAAAGCTACATTATCTTATATCTGTAATATATCGTCTTAAATGTATACAATAGAATACATTTACTCCTTAACTACTCTACAAAGTACTAATGTATATGGCTTTATTATAGTCTACAATAAATCTTAAATTTCTGCTTTTTGACAATTTAACGACTAAAATACCTCAACATATCGAGGTCCTGGTAAAGCTGGCAACAACGGTTCAGTTTCTGAAGTATCCCTTTCATTACGATCACTTGAATTCGACCACATTTTCACGATATATTATTAAAGTAACTACGTTGCAAGAACTAGATGCCACAAAACACAACGTAACGTTTATGCGGGTGAAAGGTGTTTGAAAAACAATGATACTTCATTGTCTTGCGAACTGCGAAGTTATGGAGGTTGGCGGTACAATTATAAAAACAATTAACAAATTCTAAAAACAAAACAAGGTTCATAATAAACGCAAATTGCTATTGGTGTTTGACAGGCTGCAAATGTGACGTTTGCAAAATGTTTTATTTGACGTATGCGCTATATCTGTCAGAAATGCAATTCCGCACAATTACAATATCACTACAGATTTTCCTATATTTGTATGTTACAATAGTGCATTGATCAAGTTTACAAAAAAGTTACATCAACATTTATATTGAACATAATATACGTAGATAGCTAGATATAAACGCCTAATGTAACTATGTTAGCAAATCAGATATTTCAGCTATAAACTACAAAATAAATACGTCACATGGTTATATACGATATTTGCGTTGCATCAATAATTGAACGGGCCTTGAATGATAATTTTCATACTGTGCATCAGTGCACTTGACCGTACTTGAACATGCTGCGATTTTTCCTGGCCTTGACTTTGACCAACCACTGTATCGTGTTACGTCATGAGAGGTTTTGAATAGGACGTCCTGAATCAGAAAAAGAGACTTCTGGTGTCAAAAAAAATTTACAAATCTTTCGTACAAAAATAAACATAAAAAGCTGGTAAAACATTTTGATTTACTTTTAACTGATTACGACAAGTATTATATTGTTTGACACACCCGTTTCAAACAGCATTATTTTCTAAACATAGCGATACTTTCTCAAACAAGAGTCTACACACGATGTCGACACTACCGCATAGTTTAGACTCTGCTTTTAAAACAAACAATGTTTTGGTTCGCTATAATCGGTTGAATAAAAAGTATTTAGCAAATAAATTTCAACCTTTAGTATGGAGCAAATAAATTTCAACTTGTTTCAATCATAGAAAAAAAGGGGCGGACAACTATTTTTTGCTGGAAATCGGATTTCAGACGGCCATAAACATTACGTGGTACTTACTTACATTGCAATTATTTACTTTTAAATTCTTCAGTGAAAAATCATAAAATATGCGCGCGATGTTTTATCGCATTTTTTCTAAAATGGCGTGGCGGAGTTAATTGGCAAATCTCAGTGCGCACGTACTATTCTATTACAAATGGTCTAAAAATTGTAAATAACTTAATATGATAAGATAACAATGGCTGTTATATCATTATATCGATACATTATTATCTTCGGCTGTTAGGTGTTTAAATGAGAAATAAATTGATTAGTTTATGTGTTTTTGTTATTTTCCTAAAACAAATTAAAGAAAACGCTTCGTTTGTTTAATGTGTAATCCTACTAATATTATAAACGCGAATGTTTGTAAGAATGGATGAATGTTTGTTACTCTTTCACGTAAAAACTACTGAATGGATTTCAATGAAACTTTACAATAATATAGCTTACACATCAGAATAACACATAGGATACAATTTATAAAGTGTGATTGTTATATTGTGTGAATTGTCCAAAATTTCAAGTAGAAGGAAAAAATGTACCATCTGCGAGCTATTCTGGCGTCTATCTATCTTGCGTATCTGGCGTATTTCTATCTGGGTACGTAGTGTTTATATCACGATTGTAATAAAAAGTCGATGCATCAGTTACGACGCAATTTGTCCTAGAGGACCAGTGACCACGTCAGATCGCTCTGAGTAAAATGTAAATGATAAAATAATGCAAAGCAGATATTATGAACTATATAATAGATGGTATAGTTTCCTTGTGCCTTATAAAAATCAAGAGGTTTTCATACAAATTGCGCTTGTGCATTCCCACATTTTCAGCGTCTGCTCGTCTTCAACGAGATTTTCTGTAATTGTAGAAGAGTCAGTGTATAATTTCGAAATAAATTTACCGAGTCAATATTATGTCGCAATTATTTTAAAATATTTGTATTTTATTTTAGACCACCCAAAGAAAGCAATAATTTTATCGGCAAGATAAGACTAAGATAATATTAATATGTATCATACCTACGCGAAATAAAATGAGATAATATGTAGATATTGCATATTATTCCATTTTACTGTACCATAAAAGATGATAATTTCCGCTGTTATTTTTTTTACTTAAGCACTGAAATGGGGCTTTTATGGTATCAGGCGGGTACTTTGTGGGTTTTATAATAACCAGAATAACTTAAACTGTTATCATTTTGCATTCACAAAAAGTGAAGAAAACAATTAAAGGAAATTGTAAAATACGTCAGCGTCAACTATGTATTTTAATTTTGCGATGTTATCTTAATATATATAAATTACGCGTCACGTTGTTTGTCCGCTATGGTCTCCTAAACTACTAAACCGACTTCAATCAAATTTGCCTACCGTGTGCAGTTTGATCTAACTTAAAAGATAGGATAGGAGCTTACATATATATATAATTCTACTGTACGAGTGTACTGAGAGTGTGTGTCACTGAACTCCTCTTAAGCGGCTGGACCAATTTGAATGTGTTTTTTATGCGTTTGGGTGGAGCCCTAGATGGTTTAGATTCACAAATCAGCCCGGCAGATGGCACTGCAATCGGTACTTTCATACTTTGATTAATATCCTAATCGCTTGAAATATCATGCAGGACAACGTCTGTCGGGTCCGCTAGTTTTCTCCTAAACATTGGACACAGCTCTATTTTTAGTTAGAGCTTATTATATTCATATTTGTGTGACATTGTTTAACATTGACAATCGCTCATCACAGACTATCAAAGTAGTAATGTACTGAGAATAAAGCTAAAATATATTTACCAAATTCACACGCACTGGCATCGCATGCATTCTGGTAGAGGCCATACTTGTTGTGATATTTGTAAATAAGTTAGCTGTAAGCACACCCGTGGCTAGTGCTGGAGATAAAGGAAATAGAGCGAACCCCATACTGTTACTTGAACCGAACATTTTCACTTCACTAATTAATATTTGATCGACACAATTGTTTACAATTTTCTATAAGTAAGTTAATTTAAGTGAACAACTTCGCATTTCGCAATAAGATCACAGCTTGTTTGTTGAGACCACACTGTTTTCAAGTGCAACTGTCAAAAATGAGAGAAATCTCAAATGATATGTTTATCAATGATAAAGTACAGATTATAATACAAAGGTCGTGAAATATCTTTTCTGTTAACGTGTAATAGGTATAAATATCTCATAAAATACTCTGTATTTTCTTCTTATGTGTTTCATACGGTAACTACTTTTGTACTTAATGTAGTTTTATAATGGTATTTTTATTATTTTAAATGTTTCCGTTTAGCTTCTTACGTCTGGATTGACTGAAAGGAACTGCTCTTAGCAGTAATGCTCACTTACATCTGTTGTTTACTGGTATTATTTTGTCATATTGTTTATGATGTAAATAATTTGTCAATTTTTTTTAATACTTTCATAGCCGGATTTGAACCTATGACTTCGTGGAAGTCCCACGCTGAAGCCACCAACACTGCTCAAAACTTATAGATTACCTGTGTCTATAAGTTAAGACTTATTATTACTATAATTACTATTAATTATCAGTGACGTTTTATGAATAAGTATTTATTTGATATGATATAACACACTATCTTATGTTATAATCTTAGCAAAAATCGATCGCACGCGAAAAATTTAGCAAAATAGTATTTCACGTTGAACTTACATCAAATATAATTGTTGCGGTGTTTGCGTTTATTACTTTTCTTAATTGTCTTTTGTAATGCAATTTCCTATAATATATCTACACCTGTATGAAGGAAAAGTATGTTCTATGAAAATATGCTTTAGATACAATTATTATTGGCTCAATTATAAATTATTGTGCAGAACGTATAAGACCTCTATAAAACTATATTGCTACGTCTGGTAATGAAATTTCATTTGCCATGAACAAAGTGGAAGAAATTAAAGGACGAGTACCGAGTTACTTGTTCTATTTTTATAACCTAACAATATTGTTAGATGTATATCTAAGCAGCGTAGTTCCGGCCAGCCTTGAGAAAAAATAATTCCCTTTCAAATGTTTCTTTTAATTTAAAAATTTGTTAAAGCGAAAATAACCTTAGAGTTGAATTACTAAAATTCATAAAAAGTCGTTTTTGTAAATAAGGAAACCTATCTCAATCTAAAAATTAATAGGCGCGGCCTTACAAATGTCACTGGTTTTAAATGATTACTTTCCTTAATAGCTATTTTAAATCAAAGTATGGACAGCAAAGAAAAAACAATACTATACCAGGTAGAGTAAAAATATTTTAATTTAGTTCACAATATAAAAGTTTGTCTTATTGTTTACATTTAGCAATTAAAATATGTTATATTTTGGTTTTTAATACGTTAAAGTATGGCTGGAATCTAATCCCAACTAAAAAGGAGCATGGAGCTGACAATTTTTGTAAGTGTTTCGACAAGTGTAGCTAATCGCTTTTTATCGCCTTATTGTATCCTGAAATAATCATTATTTTACTGGGAATTCAGATAAGGACTATGTTAAGCAAATAAATAATAAACCAGGTAGATTGGGTAGAAAGGATCAACTTGAAACAGTTTGCACGCATGGTCGCTTATCTACCAAGGCAGTTTTTGCCGCGCACCCCCACTATGTGGAACCAGTGCCCACAGAATTTTCTTTCATTTTTCCGAACTAATTCGTTAGGGTCCTTCAAGAAAAGAGCGTACCAATTCTTAATAGGCCGGCAACGCACGTGCGAGCTCTCTGGCAAAGTGAGTGTTCGTGGGCGGCGGTATCACTTAACATCAGATGAGCCTCCTGCCCTTTTACCGAAAAAAAAAACTATCCGTTTGGTTCTGACCTATGCTTAAAGTGTCAAAAAGTTATATATATTTATATAGGCTTTCTTCGCCCAACGCTTTTTCTCCTTCATCCCCTTTCATCTTTAACCTCTTTCTTGAAAACAAA